TAAAAATGGCCAGACATACAGCTCATAATTTCAGCACCTATAGGATTGGGAGAGGACACTGAAAATTTGAGACCAGCCTGGACTACATGAGAGAGAGAGAGAGGACAATAAGTATAAAGATGTTCATTTATGTGGCCCAGGAAAAAATGAATTTCTATCTATCTATCTATCTATCTATCTATCTATCTATCTATCTATCTATCTATCTATCTTGTGTATATTAGTGTCCTAGCTGCATGTACACCTGCATGCCAGAAGAATTAAGAGATGGTTGTGAGCCACCATGTGGTTGCTGGTAATTGAACTCAGGACCTCTGGAAGAGCAGACGGTGTTCTTAACCACTGAGCCATCTCTTATGAAACACAGGCCACAATAATTTTTGAAAGAGGCTAAATAAACTTTAAGACAGTTTAACTTCTGCGTAGATACCATCTTATTCAGAACCTACTGTACCAAGTGATTCTGAATTTTCTTTTCTTTTCAGATACTATAAATCTCTGAAGTCATTGTTACATGTCACCCAGGAACTTAAAATGTTGAGAAATATTGGAACATATTAAAGAAGCAGTATACCAAAACCATTTTGAATATTGAAATTCTATGTGAAATTCAGCTTAAGTTAAATACCTCAGTGCCAAGCTATTTCTCTAGGGGGGAAGGGGAAGGTGCTAGTCTGTGTTAAAGCCCACATGGTGTAGAGCAGGTGGATGGAGAAGAGAGCAGGCATGTCAGGTCGCTCAGCCTCCTCCAGCCACAGGAAGAAGGGCCTCTGTCACTGCCCCTCCGTGACTGGTGTGGAGGGCACATTGCTACTAGTGTAGGTTTGCATCTCTAACCTCCCTAAAAGTCCAGTGTTGAAGCTCTTCGGGCCCCAGAATGGTGCCATTAGCTTGTGTGGACTGGTGAACGGTCTTTAGGGGGGTTGAAGTGCGTCCTTGACTGGGATAATGGAGCCTGACCCTCCCTTTGCCTCTCCTTTTCCTCCTGGAAAAGTGAGGAATTCTGTTCATGGTGCTCCCACAAAGCAACAGCTAACTGGCCACAGACTGCCACCTCGAAAGCCAAGTAAAACAAACTTCTCAAAGTGGGCTGTCCCAGATATCTGCTCCCAAGACACACAATCACCATACCCGTACACATTCAGTGGTGTTGCTGGGGACGTCCAGATGCAGGCCAGCTTTACAGGCCAAACTGTAAGAGAAAGCCTTACAGTTTGTGCAACCTCAAGAGGCCCTGGAGCCATGGCCCTGCCCCTCCCAACTATCAGGCCCTGTGTGGCAAACGGAAAAATCGGAAGAAAACAGAGCTTCAGATCGTTTGAGAATGTTACTCTTTTTTAAAAGCAAGCAAGCAAAAACAACAGATTAACTAATTCTAGGGGAATGACCAGGGGTGGTGAACATTCAAGAGAGGCATAGTTAAAGTAGGTCAGCTTTTTACCTTTTGTCTCTCATTCCCAATGTCCAAGGGTCCTGGGGAGGGAATTTGGCTACACACACACACACACACACACACACACACACACACACACTCCTTACACACTCACATGTACATACACTCACATCATACATGCATACAATCACTTGCACACAGACTCACTCCTGTGCACACATGATCATGTCCACATGCACATGCACTTTCCTTCCTCTTTCTCTTAGCACTGCTCTGTTCTGTTGCGATTCCTCTTTCCAAACTGACCGCTGGTGTCTCCTTGCTCCTCGTCCCTGGGCGGTCCTCCCGGTTCCACCTTCTCGGCTGATCCCCAGGCACTTTCTCTTGAATGCCTGGATTGTGCTGAGGCTCTTTGGTTGTTAAGTCCATTGCACCCACCTTTCTTGGTTCCTAACGTCCTTTGGACTCGGATGGCATGCCAGTCTTGATGCTATTGACTTGTACACATTGAAGTTAGCATAGGTCTTCTACACTCACTCGCTGTAACGGTCCTTGGTTGGTGACCGTGTAGGTTGATCCAGCACTTTGCCATGACAGGCGATGCACAGTGCATAAGTAAGTGTGGCTGTATCTGTACAACGACACAGGTGTGGTAAATCCGCACAAATGCATAAGTACGGGTGTGTCTGCACAACTGGGCAAGTGTGGGTATATGTGCACAATTGACCAGGGTGGGCATACCTGCACAAGTGACAAGCGTGGGCATACCTGCACCACTATGCAGGTATGAGTGTACCAGTTGGAGCGATGTCATAGTGAAAGAAAGGTACACAGATATCCTTAGGTGCTTCGTTTGTCCTTAGTGTCATACAGGGGCTCAGTATCATAAGCACATTTCTGGCTGACAAACCCTCTTCATCTGTTCTCTTCTCCTGTCACATAACGAGGCTTCTGCTGTACCTTCTCTTCCAAACGTGCCCAGCCAGGAGCCACACTAGTCTAAGACTTTCTGCTCAGTAGCTTCCCTTTTTGGGGACTTCACATTGCAAAAGCTCAGAGTCAGCCCAGAAATGACCTACCCTCTTTGGAACTCTGGAAAAAGAAAAGATAACAAATGACAAAAAAAAACATTCTTTTGTGTGAGAGCAAGGATGTGTGTTTGTGGAAGCCGGAGGTTAACCTCCAGCGTGTTTATTCAGGAGCCGTCCGTCTGGCATGTAAGGCAGTGTCCCTCACCGGGGTCCAGAGCTTTCCAATTAGGGTAAGCCCAGTGAACCCTGGGATCGGCATATCTCTGCCTGCCTCGTCTGGGATTTCAAGCATGCAGCCCATGCCTTTTTTTTTTTTTTTTTTTTTTTTTACTTTACTTGAGTTCCAGTTGTTGAACTCAGGTCCTCATGCTTTCAGAGCAAGCACTTTATTGACTGAGCTAGCTCCCGGCCCCAGAAAACATTTTTTGACAGAGAGGAAGAAACCTTGAACTCATTCTCTTGGTCTGTTTTCATTTCCTCTTATTACAACAAATAGCTAATGGTAGCTACCTGTGGAGAAGCGACTTGTTTGGCTCACAGTTCTGGAGGGTCCTGGGTGCAGATCTTGTGAGCGCTAGTAAAAATCCCATCTCTCCACCTCAGTCTAAGATCTCTCCTCCAGCTTCTGGTCTCCCAGCCTCTTTCCTCTCTCTCCTCCTCTGCCTCTCACTCCTTCCTGTTCTCTGGCTCCTCCCCTCTCCCTCCTACTCCTTCCTCTCCACTTCTCAACATTGTGGCTGGTGGTTTTATTTTGGCATGTTTACACAAAGTTGAGACAGGTGATGTTTAGAATAAATAACATAATGTAATGTCCAGACTGAAAACAGAGAGGGGAGGAGAGAAATCAGCATTTGAATGAACAAGGGTAAGGTGTATACATTCCAAAAGAATTCCAACAAGCTACATTAATTGACATCACACATCAAATGGACTTGATAAATTTCTGTACACTATTCTATCCAAATAACAAAGAATACATATTCTACTCAGCAGTGCATGGAAGTCTCCCTAAAATAAATCACGTCTGTGACTCAATATAAATCTTTACAAATCCAAAGAGATTGAAGTAATTCAGTGTGTCCTATTTGCTACACAATGCAATAAAACTTAAAATTGACAGTAAACAAAACTCTAGTAAATACACAAACTATTAAATAATTCACCTCTAAATGAGTCAAAGAAGAAATTAAAAAAGAGATAGAAATTATCCTGAGCTAAAAGAAAATGTAACAGAAGAAAATCTCTGGGTCACATTGAAAGCAGTACTACAGGAGAAATCTGTAGCTCTGAATGTCCACATTAAAAAATTCAGAAAGAGGGGCTGGAGAGATGGCTCAGAGGTTAAGAACACTCATTGTTCTTCCAAAGGTCCTGAGTTCAATTCCCAGCAACCACATGGTGGCTCACAACCTTCTATAGTAGATCTGGTATGCAGGCAGAATGTTGTATAAATAATAAATAAATCTTTAAGATGAAAAAAATTCAGAAAGAATACAAATAAACGAATTAGTGATTGAACCCAAAACTCTGGAAGGGGAAGAAGAAGAAGAAGAAGAAGAAGAAGAAGAAGAAGAAGAAGAAGAAGAAGAAGAAGAAGAAGAAGAAGAAGCCAGATTCAAATCCATTTGAGAACAAGAAGTAATAAAAATCTTGGCAGAAATTAATGAAATAATAACAAACAACAATACAAAGAATCAACAAATTTAAAAGCTGGTTCTCTGAAAAAAAAAATGAGATTGACAGACCCTTGGCCCAACTAATTAAAAGAAAGAAAAAGCAAACCCAAATCAACAGAGTCAAACGAACAGGGAAACATTACAACAAACACCAAAGAAATTCAGAATATTATGAGGGAATGCTTTTTAAAAACTGTACTACATTACGCTGGAAAAACTAAAAGAAATGGATGAATTTCTAGATTTAGACAAACCACCAAAATTAAACCAAGAATTCAACAACCTAAACAGAGCCATAGCAAATGAGATTGAAACAGTAAAACAAAACAAAACAAAAAACAAAACAAAATTCCCCACTTAAAAAAAGTTGAGGGCCAGATGGATTTAAAGCAGAATTCTAACAGACATTCAAAGGAGAGCTACAGCCAATCCCTCTTCAACTATAAGAAAGAAAGGAAGGAAGAAAGAAAGAAAGAAAGAAAGAAAGAAAGAAAGAAAGAAAGAAAGAAAGAAAGCAGACAGAAGAATACTCTTTCTAGAAGCCAGTATCGCCCTGTAGTAGTTTAAATGAGAATGGTCCCCATAGGCTTGCGTTTGGATGCCGAGTTGGTAAAACTGTTTGGAAGAAGTTTAGGTGTGTCCTTGTTGAAGGAGGTGCTTCACTGGGGTTGGAATCTGAAGTTTCAAAAGCCCACATTTCAGACAGGCTGTTCTCTCTCTGCCATGTGCTTGTGAATCAGCACTGCTACTGCTCCAGCACCAGGCCTGCTGCTCCCCCTCCCCACAATGACAGCCACGGCCTCACCCTCTGAGAGTCTAAGCAAGCCCCCAATTAAACACTTCCTTTTATAGGTTACCGTGGTCATGGTGGCCCTTCACAATGGTAGAAGACAATTAAATCCTGCCCCGAGAGGCTGTGCAGGTGCGGCTGCTGTGAGTGGCTGCTGTGGGTCCGTAGGTGGCAGAGAGGAGGGAGGTGTGTCTATGCTCTGCGTTCTACCTGTGAACATCTGAATAATGAGTAGCCTAGCAGTCCCTGAAAAAGTGAGCCTGAGACGACCACCGGTCCGGCACCAGGAGGTTCAGACAGGGAGCTAGCCTGAGATGACCACCAGTCTGGCTCCAGGCAGACCCCCGTGTGATCCCCGGATGAGGAGCAAGCAGAAGAGTAGATGAACACTGCCTGGTACTGCAGCCTCAGGTAAGAGCGAGCCCAAGACCGACGACCCTCACAAGAGGGCACTTGGGCTGACTAGGAGGGAACAAGCCCTAGGCAACCACCAGACCAGCACTATGGGGGCAAGACAGGTAGCTAGCCTGAGATGACCACCAGTCCTGTGCCATGCAGGACTGGGTGGGGGCAGACCATACCTTAGAAGACCCCTGACTGGCCTCATAATGCATGAAAGGGGCATAGCACTCCGGAGACCACTCCTCAGACAAACCTGAACACCGTGAAGAGACCCTGGACACTAAGAAGAGGCACAAGTAAGTGGTGGAAAAATGGAAGATAAAAGGAAGCAGAGGGATGTGGGCACAATGAAGAGAGGCAGCACTGGAGACTGGAGGGTAGTGAGGAACTGAATGATGCGATGCCAGCTGGGACCATGGTGAGGTCTCCTGGCCTGTGCTGCCACTGAGGCCCACATCCGGGTCCGTGGGATGTGCAGCATGAGCCTGTTGCCACCAAAGGCCAAGCAGATGTCTACGGTCTGGTTGGGAACATTTTGATGTCTGAGGGCTGTGCAGAACTGGCCCTATCCCTCACCTGGGCACTGTGGGAGAGTTGGCCCTGGGGTCATGAGAGAATGAGAGCTGACCTCTACACTGTCTAGATGCAGTACTCGGGAGGGTGGCCTACACACATTGAGAGAGTTGTGGGGAGGTGACCCTGCCACTCACCTCCTATGCAGTGGCAGCAAGTGGGAAATCTGGCCCTGGGGTCATGTGAGAAGGACAGCTGTCCCTGCCTGTCATCAGCCCCAGCACTCAGGAGAGCAGGCCCCATACCTCGCCTGGGCAGCACAGTAGAGTTGACTCTGGTGTCAGGGGCATGGGTGAGCCGGCGCCACCACTTCTCTGCCATGTGGTGACATGGGTGAGGAAAAGATGTTCCCCCTCACCCCTGGCCACCTATGGTAGGCAAAAGAGCTGTCCCCAAGGTCATTAGAGTGGGAGAGCTTTCCCTGCTCCCTACCTACTGAAGCACTCTGAAGAGAAGGCCCTGCACCTCACCTGGATGACACAGAAGAGCTGGCCTGGAAGTGGGGGCTGCAGGTGAGCTGGCCCAAAGGACGTGAGCACAGGAGAGGCTGCCCTGCCTCTTGTCTGCTTTGTGGTGGGTGGACAAGGAAGAAACTCCCTTCTCCCCTTCCTCATTCCTCACCACCTATGGCAGGCAGGAGAGAGATGGCCCTGGGGTCATGAGAGTGGAGAACTGGCCCTGTTCCTCACCAACTGTAGCATCCAGGAGAGTGGGCCCTGCACCTAACCTGGGCAGCAGGGTAGAGCTGGCCCTGGTGGCAGGGGTTTTAGGGGAGCTTGGCCCAAGGGTATGTGAGCAGGAAAGCCCCCTGACTGACCAACTCGGATACCTCTCCAGCTCAGATCCAGGGCTTTGAATTAGCCAACAAGAACCTTATCAATGAACTGCTGGAATGCATGAAGCGGCCAGCCCTACAGAGCTAAAACTACAAGATCTCCATGACAGAGGGTAACAACAGGATATCCAAGATGAGTCTCAGTGAGGTTCTAGTATTGATAGTGTAGCAGAAGCCAGAGGCCTTGTACCAGACCAATAGAACATTTGCAAGCAAAGAAGAGTAGACAAAGGGATATACTGTGGGACACACTTCGAGACACTACAGCTTACACAATGATATTTTTTTTTCTCTGTCGGAAGGGAGGTTGCAAGAGTGGAGGGCAGGTATGAAGGGAAGGCAATATGAGTGTGATTGGGGTGCACGATGTGAAATTCACAAAGAACCAATAAAAAGGCACTAGGCAGCCCAGTCTCTATGTGGGTTCCCTAGTAAGGGGACCAGGGGCTATCTCTGACATAGACTCTGATGCAAGCTCCTTGATCACTTCCCCCTCAGCGGGTGGGAAGGGCTGCAGTGCCAGGCCATAGAGGAAGAGGATTAAGGCAGACCTGAAGAGACTTGATAGTCTGTGGCCAGTTGGTAAGGGAGAAGCCCCCACTTTCTGAGGACTAGGGGAGGGGATGGAGGAGAGGGAAGGAGGGGGCTACAATCAGAAAGTAAAGTTAATATATTTTTAATTTTTTTAAATAAATAAAATAAGGTTTTTTAAAGTAACTAAGACACACCCTAATATCAAAACCAGGCAAAGAAGTAACAAAAAAGAAAACTACAGACAAACATGGATTCAAAACATGCTCAAAAAATATCCACAAACAGACAAAAAAAATAATAGAGATATTGAGCACTCAAAAAACTTCTTATATGAGGCCAAGATCACTCTTATAGCAAAACCAGGTAAAGAAGCAACAAAAGAAGAAAACTGCAGGCCAATATCCTTGAAGAACATAGACTCAAAAATGTTCAATAAAACAGTTGAAAACAGAATTGAGACATCCATCAAAAATATTATCTGCCAGGACCAAGTTGGATAATTCAATATGCAAAGTCAATAAATGTAATAAACTACATAAATAAAATTAAAAATCACATGTTTATCTCAACAAGTGCAGAAAAAGCACTTGACAAAATCCAATGTGTCTTCAGGATAAAAGTCTTAGAGAACTGAAGACTAGAGGGAACACACCTCAGCATACAAAAAGTCATAATCAAGAAACACACAGCCAGCATCATCCTAAATGGAGAACAACTCAAAGCGATTCCACTGAAATCAGAAATGATACATGGCATCCACCATTCCCACTCCTTTTCATTGTAAGTTCAACACACTAGCTGGAGCAATAGGACAAGAGAAAGAAATTAAAAGAATACAAACAGGAAAAGAATAGTCAAAATATCCCTACTTGCAGATGACATGATATTATACGTTAGAGATCCAGAAAATTTCTAGACATGATTAAAAAAATAAAAACAGCAATGTTGCAAGATACAAAATCAACTTGCAGCAATAAATGACCTTCCTACACACCAACAGAAAATCTACAGTTAAAGAGATCATGGACAGCCTATCAGTCAGTGGTGGTGCACACCTTTAATCCCAGCCCTTGGGAGGCAGAAGCAGGCCAGTGTGCTCTACAGAGCAAGTACCAGGACAGCCAAGACTACAGTACAAAGAGAAACTCTGTCTCAAAAAAATCAAAAGAGAGAGAGAGCTTATGGACATGGATACATTCTCACTCACAATGGTCTCAAAGAAAATAAAGTACTTAGGAATAAACCTAACCAAGGAAGGCGGGTCACTACAATGAAAACTTTAAACCTCTGAATAAAGACATAGTGAAAGACACTAGAAAATGGAAAGACATCCCATACTCATGAATTTTAGAATTAATATTGTGAAAATGACCGTTTCACCAAAAGCTACTCACAGATTCAAAGCAATCTCAATTAAAATTACCATCTCATTCTTCACAGAAACAGAAAAGGCAAATTTGTATGAAATCCCAAAACTCCTGGATAGCTAAAACAATCCTGAACAAAACGAATGATGCCAGAGGTACTACAATTCCAGATCGAAAGCCATTATAGAGACACACTAAATAAAACAATATGGTACAGGCACAAAGACAGACATGTAGACCAATGGAACAAAATCGAAGACCCAAATATGAGTACACATAATTACAGCCATTTAATATTCAACAAAATAGCAAAAACATACACTAGAGAAAAGAAAGTATCTTCAACAAATAGTACTAGAACCTAGATGTCCACATGCAGAAGAATGAAATGAGACCCACATTACCTTGTATAAAAACTAACTCCAAATGGATCAAAGACTTAAATGTGAGACCCGAAACACCAGAACTGCTAGAAGAGATAGGCAGTACCATACATAATATTGTGTGGGAAAGGACTTTCTGGTCGAACTTCATTTGCCCAAGAATTAAGGCTGGCATTTGACAAATGGGACTTCATGAAACTGAAAGATTCTGAACAGCTAAAGAAACAATCAATTGGATGAATAGGAAGGCTACAGAATGGGAGAGAAGCTTTATCTTTGCCATATGTGTGTGTGAGTACGTATCTGTGTGTATGTATGTACATATGTATGTACATATCTGTGTGTATATGACAACTATACACCTGGCAGATGATTAATATCCAGAAGATATAAAGAACTCAAAAAGCAAAAGAGTAAAAAAGTGACTTATTTAAAAAATTGACTTGAGATCTGAACACAGAATTCTCAAAGAAAGAAAGAAAAAGAAAAATATACCTAAAAAATATCTCTAGATATAGTCATTGTCCCTAGCATTCAGGGAAATGCAAATCAAAACAAATCTGAAATTTCATCTCACTGGTCAACAAAGCAACTGATAACAAATGCTGATTTAAGAAACCACTAAGTGACAAATTGTACCATATAAAACCAAAAGGTTCTTCACAATTAAAGAAACAATCAAGTGGCTGAAGAAAAAGCTCACAGAATGGGAAAGAATCTTTTTCATTTACACACATATCTGTGTGTATATCTGTGCATCTATATGCCAACTGTATATCTGAGGGTTAATATCCATAATATATAAGAAACTCAAAAAATGTGGAGTATACTGTTAAAGTTATTTTTATAAAACTGTGTTTGTTTCTCAGTTCTCTCTTAACCTGGCTATAACACAAAAAAATTTAATAATAAGCTTCACAACACAATAACTGAGCAGATATTGCTCTATTCTTAACCTTCTAAGCTAATATGGTTTCCTCCCAGTGTACATCCCAATGTCACTTGTACTTTGTAGCTTTCCTGCTCCAGCTCCTTCTCCTGCCTTCTCTTGGACCTCTGCCAGGAGCTCAATCCCTTCCTCCTCCTTTAATTCCTCCTTCCCCTGGCTGTCAGGAAGTGCAGCCCTATTCTTTCCCCTGCTCAGTAACTG